TTTAGAACTTTCCTATTCATTCGTTTAATGGATATTATTTGTATTGGAGAATTAAAATATTCAATTAATTGTTCCTCTGACAAATCCATGTCAACCTCCCTGACTATGGCTTTACATGTTACAAAATTAAAGGGTATGTAGATTTCATATCTTTGTCGAGTAGTTTTTTATTTTTAAGAAAATGGTTGGCCGCGCTATGATTTAAAAATTCTACAGCAATTCTGTTCAGTCCCTTATTTTTAATGTTTCTCACATCAACGAGGTGAAGGTCAAATATTTCTCTAGCTAGTTTTAAATGTGAATATTTGCCGATATTTCCTAAGGAATTTATTTTTTTTGATGTCTCAATATAAACAGTGTATGGGCCCTTATCTTTCGAGTCATACTCCACGCTAGGTTTTAAATTTTTGGGCTCCATACTGGAGTCATTATTAACATTAAGGGTACTACCCGTTTTCGGGGGGTCAGGCATCCGGCAGCAATGTTTTACAAGGCCTAATTAACATTGCGCAAATACCTGTTGCTTCGTAATTATTTGAAACTCCGTTAACCATGGAATTATACAAAGTGACAATAAGATAGACAAGGATAAACGGTAAATTCAACAAGATTTGTTGACTGCGGAACGTACTTTCAAAATGTCAACCTGTTCTTATAGCCTCGAATAATGGTGTTTATAAATAAAGTGACTAGTCTGTGAAATAAACCATACAACATCAAACATTTAATGGTTAACTCCAAACAAGCTAGTGCCTGTGTAATCTCCTTATTATCCACTCTTATCAAGCAGCTCCTCGTATTCAGTTAATTAACTCCTGCTCCATTTGTATCTCCTTGTGCTGTGTGTATCGTACAAACGTGATAGGAAGATAGTCCTTCTTCGGTATTTATTTGGTGCTTGGGAAAGTGTTAGTTATTGTGCTCTGAGTACACCCTGGAAGGCCCTGATTCGATTATGTCCAATACTTGTTCCTCTGTGCCTGGAACCCGAAAATAGATTGTCGTCCACTATATTCCTGGAACCACTCTCCTTGCCCTTTGTTGGCGTATATTATTACCATTGGACATAGTTTAATTCTGTATTTTTCTAAAAATCTACAGGTTCTAATGATTAATATTTAAAAAAAGGAGTACCGCTATCGTTAGCAACTATTTTGTTCATTGCATTTGATACATCGTTCTTACTTTTTTTTCAACATGCAGGTTATGTTTTTTAACAGCTGATTGCTGTTGAATACGAATACGAATAATAATAATAATAATAATTTACTTAGATTAAACTTAGATTTATCATTTATCAGACTGTGAAGGCTTTCACGGCCGGTCAAATCACATTTAGAAATTTTTTTCTGGGTTTGAAGCCGTGGTCCATGGGAAATTCTTCCTGACGTTTCGTCCACAACTGCGGTCGTCATTATCAAAGGCGATGAGGCAGTGGGCGAAGTGATCTTCTATATACCCGCTGATAAGGGCAATGCAACTGTGGTCATGTCATCGTTGAACTACGAGGGCAAAATCAAAGAGCTGACCCCGTCAACGTACAAGAAGTTGGCACGGAATCCGACGGCACGGATACTAAGGACAATCAACAAATTAATTAAGGACATTACATTTCCGTCCCAGGAGTTGGCCAAACTCAGAAAATCAGAAGCACTCCCACCAAGCCTCTACGGACTGCCCAAGATCCATAAATCGGATGTACCACTGAGACCCATTGTGAGCGCTATTGGAAGTCCGACCTATGATATTGAAAAATATCTAACAAGAATTTTACAGCCTAAAATAGGAAAAACTGACAGTTTTATAAAGGACTTATCCCATTTTGTTCAGAGGTTGCACTCGTCATTAGCTCCCGGAGAAATCCTTGTGAGTTTTGATGTTGTTTATTGTTCACAATGGTACCAATCAGGGAGGCAATGGAACTTATTAAGAGAGAATTTCCACCAGGCCTCGCCAAACTCTTCGAACACTGCTTAACAACAATCTACTTTCAGTGGAAAAACGAATTATATAAGCAGACGGATGGAGTAGCAATGGGCAACCCCCTTAGACCGGTGATAGCCAACTACTTTATGGAGAAATTAGAGATGAACGCTCTAGACACAGCCGCGAGGAAACCTAAGTGTTGGTTTGGATATGTTGATGACACTTTCGTTGTTTAGGGCCATTATTTGGTTGAACTTAAAGACTTCCTGATGCACCTCAACTCAATAAACCCAAAAATACAGTTCACTATGGAAGTGAAGAAGGCTGGGCGACTGCCATTTTTAGATGTCTTGGTAACCAGAAAAACCAACGGAACCCTGGCCCACACGGTGTACAGAAAACCGATACATACCGACCGGTACCTCCACAGTGGATCAAACCATCATCCCAATCAAAAAAGAGGAGTTATTAAAGACCTCACCGAAAGAGCCAGAAGAATTTGCTAACCATCTAAGTTAGAAAGAGAATTGAAACACCTAGAAAGGGCCTTTGGGTGGAATGGATACAGCAAGAACGAGTTTAATAGAGCAATTCGACCAAGAAACAGTGGAGGTAGTCCTGAGAAAACAGATACGCATGATGAGCGTAAGAGTTGGGCTGGCCTCCCATACATACATGGAGTCACGGACAGGATCGGCAGGATACTGGAGAAACACAAAGTCAAAACAATTTTTAAACCGACTCTGGGATCGGCCAAGGACAAACGGGATCCTCTACCAGCACCAAGAGTCTACAGTTCCATGCAGTTGTGGCGGAGCATAAATCGCCACCACAAAACGTAGTGTAAACACTAGGATCACTGAGCATAAAAGAAGTTGCAGATTAGGACCAACAGAACAATCAGCAGTAGCGAAGCACGCACGTCTAGACGGCCACCAAATATGTTTTGATGAAGTGGACATTTTGCACCTATCGGGTGTTACCCGAGACTAATCAGAGAGACCATTGAGATCTTTAAACATGACAACTTTATAAGGAAAGAAGAGGTAACGGCCCTTAATCCAGATTGGAAACGCGTTTTGCAGCAAACAGCGTCTGCGCCAAAGCAATTGAAGCCCCGCCCACTCTTCACGCATTAGCTCACACGGCCGGGCCGCATAAATACAGGGAATCCAGTAGTTGAACCAGTCAACATACAGAGTTCATACTTTGACCAGTAAACATGGTGCTACGCATCGCGCTCTGCAGAACCACAGTGTTGGAAATCGAAGTGAAAACTGTTTACCAGGGTTTACCATTCTTGGTTTGCTTAAAGTTCTTGAATTACGCTGCTATTAGTGTGCTTTTCAGCACGTTTATACAGCTGGTGCTGAACTTTGAGGTTTTCTTTTGAATTGTGTGTTGCAGGACACGGAGGAGTCCAAAGCAGTGCTCGCAGAGGAGGTGCTGAGGCGCTTTGAGGCGCTCGAGGCAAAATTGGAGTCAAGGATGCTGGAGGTTGCATTTTGGAGGGACCGGGCGGTGAAGGCGGAAACGCTGTTAGCCGCCAAGAACTCCAAAATGCAGGAGATGGCTGAGGAGGAAAGAATGGAGGAGAGCGCAGCCTCCACCAGCAGCAGTGACAGCGAAACAGTTGAGGGACCCGCTGAGGCGGCAGCTCCCTCAATTGCCGCC